GAAAGTACTTGTACCTCAAACAGAAAAAAAAATATTACCTTATACTTAGGGGAAATTGTTTTCAACTGTGATTGGAAGGTATAGATTATATTTTAAAAGAATTTCTTGAAATAAACAATGTTATTTACTTAGCCTAAAAATTCATTAGTGGCATTCCTTCAGATACCATGATGAGAGAGAATGCTATGAGAAAAAGTATTTACTAAAAAGAAGAAATAAAGAAAAATTTAAAGAGCCACATGTATGATGGAGAGGTGAACAGAGGAAGGTTGTCAAGGTCAAATTAGATAAAATAATGAAATTCCCCTCAATTAACCTTAGTTCATGCTATTGGATATATTATATGAGATGGGTGGAGGGAGATTGGTCTGTTAGAGGTAGAATGGGAAAATATAGTTGTAGATAGGCAAAACAAAATTTTGTATTTGTATTGTATAACCTATCATAGGTTGCTCTATGATACTGAAAAAGTCTGAGCATTCAAAGGGGCACAACAGTCCATTCTCAGATTCTCCTTTTTCAAATAGATGTTAGTGTCATATCCTGACCCGAGAAATGACCTTTATAAATTTTCCACTTAACAAAATAAAACTGTTCAAATGATTAATAGGCACTTGCCATCCAGAACAGATGGTGAGTACCGATAAAATGGTAAAAGCCTTTTCTGAAACTGTGGAACACAAATTAATTCTTTGTTCCAGAAGAGATGGTTTAGGCTTTAATGCAGATGAAAGCAGGAAGATTGTTTCCCAGTCCCTATTTGTGTCATTCCTGTCCCTATTGTGTCATCCCTGCAACTTGCATGTTTCCTAAGAAAAGGCACTCTCAAGTCCAGCCAGCTGCTGCAAACAGAGTGCCAAGGGTTTCTCTAGAGCATCAGAACCACAGCACAGAAATGTGGAACTCAAAGATAAAGCAACATGGCCTGGCTTCCTAGGAATTGTTTTCCATAAAAAAAAAAAAAAAAAAAGAGTAGAAATAATAGGGTGAATAAAGTAGTAAGAGAGCTAATAAAGACACTCAATTAGAGAAAAAATATTCATACACTTAAAAGTTCTAATTATTTGGCTGATTTCCATAAGATGGGAAATCTCACTAAATTAATTCAGGAACTAGAAGTCAAATACAACGCACCCAAAAATGCTGCTTCTGGGACCCTGTAGTTTGATTTTTAGCAGTGACTTTATCACAAGCTTTGGTGATTATTGTGAAATGGTTGATTAAAATGTAAAAAGATAAACCAGAATCCATTGTTGCAACAGTGGGAATTAAGAGCCAGGAACTTAGGCGTATGGAGTCCTTCCAAGAAGCCTGAACCATGGCATTCAGGAGCCAATGGCAAACCCCCGCTGAAACTCTGACACTTTGGCAATGCAACAATTAAGCTTCTTAAAAGTAGCCAGGGAGCCCCGACACTTGGACAGCTCCTTTGGCACCACATAAACCTTGCTTGAGAAGGAAATTTGCAGAAACAGACATAGAATTTTATGAGGCCTGAGTATTGTATTTATTTCACCACATTTATGTCATAAAATTATCATGGAGCTGACTGCTCTGGAAATTAAACACAACAATTTAGTCTATTTTGCCTCAAAAGCAGACTCACTTTGGGTTACTGTGCTCAGATCCGGTTTGCGCTTGTTAGTCGAACTTGCAGGACCAAAAAGTTAGGCAGAGTGCTAGGGCAGATGCCATTTGGGTAGAGCATGGTGACTGCTGAGGTTTCTGCTACTTAGCAATGTTGATGCACTGGCTACCAAAATATAGAAGCACCTTCTGAGAACAATTCAGTTAAGCCTTCTACAGCAGAGAGGAGTACCATATTAGCTAGAGGCCACTTGCCTTGCATTTTTAAATGTTTCCTTGTCGATGGTTCTCTCCCCAGCCCGAGAAACAGAAACCTAACCTTCTTGTTTATTTTCTGATGAAGAAATAAAATAATTTGCATTCCTTGAGCCCAGACCAGCAGATTTAACAGAAACATACTAGATGCCAGAAGAAAATAAATCAAGCAGTGAATCATAAATTCGATCTCCTCCACACTCCCCACCAAAACAACAAAACAGATAATCTTCACATCGAAGTTGGTTTCTTTCATCAATTCTGATAGAGATTTTATATCCTACATTTGTTTTTTATTTTAATTATATAAAAGTTTAAAAGCAATAACAAATCATCCGTCAAAATATTGAGAGACTCCAATAGCCAAAATTATCTTGAAAAAGAATACAATAGGAGTTCTCATATTTCTTGATTACGAAACTTACTACAAAACTACAATAATCAAAACAGCATAGTACTGGCATAAAGACAGACATATAGACCACTGGAATTGAATAGAGAACCAGGAAATAAACTCTCATGTATATGATCAAATTATTTTTGACAAGGGTTCCAAGACCATTCAATGGAGAAAGGGCAGTTTTTCAACAAACGATACTGAGAAAACTGGCTATCCACATGCAAAAAAAAGAAGTTGGACTTAACATTACGTATAAAAACTAACTCGAAATGGACCAAAGACTTAAATGTAAGAACTGAAGCTATAAAACTCCTAGATGAAAACATAGGGCAAACACTTTACAACCCTGGATTTGGCAATAATTTCTTGGCTATGACACCAAAGGCACAGGCAGCAAAAGGAAAAGTAGACAAATTAGACTTCATGAAAATTTACAAATTTTGTGCATCAAAAGACAATAAAAACAAACAACCCTATTTAAAAATGGGCTAAGGAGTTAAATAGATATTTCTCCAAAAAAAATATATATATACTAATGGCCAATAGCACATGAAAAGATGCTCGACATCATTCATCATTAAGGAAATGCAAATTAAAACCACAATGATATACCACTTCACACTCATTAAGATGGCTATTATTAAACACACACACACATACACACACACACACACACACATAGAAAATAATAAGTTATGAGGCTTTGGAGAAATTGGAACCCTTGTGCATTGTTAGTGGGAATGTAAAATGGCAAGGCTGCTGTGGAAAATAGTGTGATGATTTCTCAAAAAAATTAAAATAGAATTACCATATGACCCAGCAATTCTACCTCAGGGTGTATACCCAGAAGAAGTAAAACAGGGATTCTCACAGATATGTGTATGCTCATGTTCATAACAGCTTTATTCATAATAACCAAAAAGTGGAAGCAACCCAAGTGTCCATCAGTGGATGAATGGATAAATAAAATGTGGTATATACATTCAATGGAATATCATCCAGTCTTAGAAGGAAATTTTGACACAAGCTACAACATGGATAAACCTTGAAAACATGCTAAGCAAAATAAGCCAGTCACAAAAGGACAAATATTGTATGATTCCACTTGTACGAAGGTCCTAGAGCAGTCAAATCCACAGAAACAGAAAATAGATGGTATTTGCCTGGGGCTGGGAGAGAGGAGAATGGAGAGTTGTTGCTTAATGGGTATAAAGTTGCAGTTTGAGAAGATGAAAAAGTTCTGGAGATGGATGGTGATAATGACTGCACAACAATATGAATGTATTTAATGCCACAGAACTATCCAAATAAAAATAGTTAAAATGGTAAATTTTGTTATGTGTATTTTATCACAATAAAAAAATTAGACTCTCACATTAAAAAAAAAAGTAGAAACAAAGACCAGCAATAATGAATGGATAGATTGCCAAAAACTTAGGAAGAACTTCAATGTCCAAAAATAGGGAAACAGAAACAGTTAAATAAATTATGATAACTCACTCGATGGATATTTATGTAGCCAATAACGTTTACTGATGGTGGCAATGTGGAACATGACCATGATATAGTGTTAAGTGAGAAGGGGGTAAAATTGTCACATACTATGATTGCAGCTGTAAATAAATCTAGCTCAAGGAAAAGAACTAAAAGGAAATAGTAAAGCCTTTAAAAATTTGCATAGAGAGGTGAAATGATTTGCTTCTTTCTCATCTATTTTCCAGTTGTTTTGGAAAGTGTATGTAATAATTGTTAAAGGAAAATAAGTTTATGGTAAACAAGAAAAAGTTGTTTAATTATTATTATTATTAAAACTTTTAGTTATTATCCATAAAATCTGGAATGCTGGATATTGTTGAGGCTTTTGCAAAGTAGCATAAATATCTAGGATATGAGTGATTGAGATTCCTAGATAACTCTCATTCAACTCTATGCTTCAAAAATAACTTCAGGATTTGGGTCACTGAGCAGAGGACACAGAAGACTAACATCTCGGAAGAAAGAAACTTTTCAGGGACTGTCATGCATTTGACAATGGCCAAAGACAACTTCCCAGAGGCAGAAACTGCCTTTCTAGGTTGAAGCTGACTCACAGCTTGACAAATAGAACAGCCTTTAAAACTGTTTTCCAAAATGAGTTGATTCTAAGTGGGTTATCCTTAAAACATAATTCTGCATCCATCTTTCTCTGGCTTACTTGTCATTAGCTCATTGTCTTTCAGCAACTCCCACCTCTAGCCCCACCCCATCGCCCACCCGAAGAAAGAGAATCAGAATGAGAAATGAACTGTGTTCAGATGGTGATGTCTTGTTGAGAAGGACAGGTAGTGGGTCGGAGAGGGTGGGCCACTGTGTCACAGAGCAGAAGCTGCAGCCGCACATCAGGTTGCTCAGCTCCTTTTAAGACTCTCTATGACCTCCCACTTAGAGCAGCTTAGGGTCGTCAGCTTCCTAGAAGAGGGGAGCCCGGGGAACTTGTAGAAGATGTCCCATGAGGCACCAAGGTAACCATCTTCCCATGGTTCCAGTCTGCACACCTTTCTGATGAGTCCTTTTGTAACAAGTTCCTATAAGAACCATTATCCAATCTGTCCTCTAGAGCCATTGTCCACAGCAGACATTGTCACAAAATCACCTCATAAATTTAATTCCATTCCACGATGCTCTTGGATTCTGGTTTGAAGAAGCTCTCCGAAGTCCTAGTTTGCTTCTTTTCTACTTTCTGCCATTTTGGACCATTTTGTTCTTTCATCATTCCTAGGTGGTTCGAGATCAAATCTCTCACTGCACAGTGAAATTGCGCCAGACCACGGGTCTCATGGAATACTGCCTGGAGGTGATTAAGGAAAATGATCCTAGTGGCTTTTTGCAGGTGAGTATTAATTAAAGTCTGCTTCATTCTCAGTGTCCCATGAGACTGAGTGTACCAAGGCCAGACTCCCAATGGCCCTGGCCCCCTTTATAACAGAACCTGCCTTCACACTGCGGTGTGTATGTGGGTGTCTGCTAAACTCCACTGACTTCCTGGAAGTCTCTGCCACCACGTGCTATAAGATTGAGAAGCGCATGGACTTATTTATTTGTTTGTTTTTGTTCTTGCGTTTAATCATGAAAACATAATTCTTTATAAGTTCCTCCAAACTAGAGTTATTGCCTTGCCTAAGAATTGGGTTCTTTTCCATTAATATATTCTGGACAGTTTTATTAGCTGGAATGTCTAAGTATGCAAGGTTTCTACCTTCTTGATACCTCTCACTGCCTGTAAGTCAGTGATTTCTCAAAGTGAAGTTTTTTTATTCCTTGAATGTCTCATGACTTTTTCAGTGTTATTTGTTTGAGTGAGATGCTATAATGTCAGCTGAATTTTACTTAAGTTTCTACCTAAATTATTAAGGGACCTTTTATTAAAGAATATGTAGATCCCTTGCAGCTCACTTTCTACCAAACTGTCCAAGAATGATGGAGACTAAATATAAGAAATGAAAGCATTCTCTACCAAAGAATAGAATGATACATGAAGATGATGGCTTAAAGTATAAGAAACTTCATTTTACAGATTATCATATGTGGCCTTTCTAAACTCTTCTGAAAAACTCATTTCCAGGTCTTGACAGAATACCCACACCTCATATTAGAATCAGGGTGGTTGGTTCTGTAGGATTAGTTAATCGCCAACACATCATTACTTAATGTTGTTGGCTCTTAGCTGATCAGTCATAAATGGCATGATCATATATCCAGGTTTGTCTGTTAGAGCAATTAATAGCTCCTAATTATTTATAGCACCCCCTGTGACTCACAGAAGTGTCCAGATTTTTGTGATAAATCATGGGTCACCTCCATCCTAATAGGCTCCTCACCGGAGAAGGGACGTTATAAGTCCCAAGGTGGTTTGGTGGTCACACTCCGGCAGAGTCGAGAAGCAGATTTCTGCGTCCAGCGTGGTGTTGTATTTCTTAGGCTGTGGTCTTTGATGTGATTAGATTTCTGACGCCCTCATAAGGAGAGTGCACCTGACTGAGGATCAGTGGGGGAAGGGCACACTCACTCCCAGGATGACCACGGACTTCGACTTGAGTCTGGACAACAGCCCTCTGCTGCAATCCATTCACCAGCTCGACTTTGTGCAGATGAAAGGTACGTCCCCACATCCCCCCAGTCATAGCGACATCTCCAGTGGAGACGGGTGCTTAAAGCAGAATAAAGGCAAAAAGGCAGCTGCCAGGTTTATAAATCACCTGAGAGGTGGGGAAGTAAACACACACACACCTCTGGTTAGTGTTACGAAGACATAGAGTGTCTCCTATCTTACCAGGTAATGGAAGCATACCCATGTAGCTGTATAACCTACATCTCGGAAAGTCAGATAAATTCAGATAAATTCAAAGCTTGTCACTTTAAGAGTCTTAGAGATTTCACGTGCTCAGCATCAGGGAATAGCTGACATAAAAAGAGAGAGGAAAAGAGAGAACGAGCATCTCTATACCTCGTTATATTAATATAAATAACCCAGAAATACTGATATAAATCAAGAGAGTTCAGAACTGAAACAGCTGATTCCACCCAGATACAGATAGTGAGCAAAAGGTTGAGTGAGGATTTAGTGGGAGGATTAGGTGGGAGAGTAGATTTAGAGGATCAGAGTCAGCTTGCCAGTACTGGTCAGGAAAATGCCACCCTGGATACAGAAAGAAAATGAAAGTTTAAAATAAACTTTTAAATTTTTTTTTAACTTTTTGCTTTATATGATTGAAAAATATGGCAAGATCTCTCTGAGATGTAGTAGTGGCTGAGGGAAAGTTCAAGTCCTTAAAATTATCTTAAGGAAAATAACTTTTTCAAAGAAAAATAAAAACTCAAGCTAACCCATGCAATGATATTTTAATGGCAGTATAAGTAGTATTCATTTGAAAAATATTTCTCATAGTTTTTTTAACCATTTATACATTGATATAATCGTACATTCACAGGAAGATGTAACAATAGTAAGGAGAGATCTCATGTACCCTTTGTCTAGTTTCCATCAAAGGTTACATCTTGCATAACTATCATGTAATGCCCAAGCCAGGAAATCGACATTTGCACAGTGTATGTGTCAAGTTCAATTTTGTCAGGTGTGTAACCACCACTGCATCAGGATACAGAACTATTACATCACCACATAGACCTCCCTCGTGCTGCCCCTTTATAGTCACACCCACACCTCTCTTCCCCTCCACCATCTCCAATCCCTGACAACTATGAATCTGTTCTCCATCTCTAAATAATTTTGTCATTTTCTGATCTTTTTTAAAACTGAAGAAACCGATTTGTTCTTTGTGTCTCCCAATTTAAGCATTCATGTAATAATGACTTAGAAGTCAGTGCTTTAAAATTTTTGTTTCTTAAGAAAAATCTACACATTTCCCTTTCTCAGACAGAGAACCACATAACCCAGCAAGTTTTAGGGCTATCAACTGCTGGCTCATATCATACAGTTACACTCACACTGTACCTGGTACATGTACGTCTCTCATCCTTTTAATTGATTTTTGCCCTCTTTTATTATCAGTTTTCTCACTTTTTGTTTAATATGTATTGCTTTGGGAAGATACCTTAATTCATTTTTCAAGTAAATAAAAATGCTTCGTTGCAGTAACAAAAACATTAACATTATTGACTGCTTACCAAGCTAGATACTCTCCTAACTGCTTTACATAGATTAACTCATTCTTACAGCCCTAGGAGGCAGCCAAGGAAACTGAGGCACAGGAAAACTAAGTTACTTGCCTGAGCTCCAAAGCTAGTGAGTGCCAGGCCTGGGATTCAAACCCAGGGAGCATAGCTCCAGAACCCAGACCTACAACTTCTAGTTTGTACTGTAAAGTTAGATCCTCACTAAGCAGTTTCTTCAAAGGATAACTAAATTCCTCTTTTAAACTTAAGAAATTTAATTTTTTGTTGTAGCAATTCCTCCTCTCTATTTAAAATTCTCTCTTTAACACCTACACAGTAGCCTGTGAAATGTAGCCATCTGAATAGTGTATAGAACCCCAGGTAAATCCCCCTCCATCAGCCTCTCTCTGTACCCAATTCTTTCAATGAGGAAAAATTATTGAAAGGTTATGTCACAAGTAGCTCAAAGGAGAAAGTATGTCACAAAAGGGCAATGTAAGGGCTTTGGTGGAAGAGAAAAAAAATGAGCCAACCCAATTAGCCTTGGTGATGAGGCAGGAGGAAGGGCAGGTAGAGGGTAAAAGCCTCAGGACTTTGAAATGCTTTCATTAGCTGGTAGAGTCCACTCCTCGCCCACTCGCTGTCATTCTGAGTCATGTCCATCTGCCCACCCCTGAGTCCAGGCCCGTTGGCGGGATGGTAACAATTGTATTGGAGTGAGCAGGTCCTTCATCTGGTATGGGAACTGCAGGTTCATGCGCTGTGCACCCCAGACTGCATTCCTAAAGCTTTGTCACTTGGCTGTTGAGGGCTGCAGACAGAAATAAGCAGGACGCGGCTGTAGGTACAATCCATTAAAGTCTGTACACACAGCAGAGAATGCCAAGCACTCTAAAGGCCAAAATTCAGAACACTCTCGCAGCAAAATTCACTTGGAACACAAAATTATCCAGGACAGTTATTTATGAAGGTAATATAACAGGCCATTTGGTAGTATTCCATTTTTCTTTTCTTTTTAACACTTCATCTTAATTTAATTTACTTCTGATTGGTATCCCTCTGCACAGTTAATTTATATGCTTTGTCTTGTGCTCATTAAGCTTAATTAATTCAGTGAGAGCCTAGTCCTCTTTAGAATCTGAATAATTTTTATCTGTCAGGTGTTTTCAATGGAAAGAAAAAGGCACAAGGTAATGACACAGTACAACTTGATTGGCTGTAGTTAAGACTTCTACTGGCCTCTTTGATATGTTAACACATATATAACTGAACCAGTGTAGTGGTAGACTTTTTTATAGACTATTCATAGTCAGTTTAATAAATTTCAGTTTCACAGCTTCTCACTAAAAATATTTCAAGAAACTACTCTCCAAGATTCCTGTACAAATGGACAAAATTTAAGTAGCATTTGGAATGGTGTTAAAGGAATTTGACCACTGTAAAACTAATAATATGTGTAATGCAATATTTTCTAACTGTTCTAATTATTTTCTAATTGTAGATAATAGTAGAAAGTTAAAATATTTTCAAAATTACTTAATATACATTTAAAGTTATGACTCAAACTGACAACCTAACATATCTGCTTACATCTTGCATCAAAATTTTAGCATCTCCCTGGTTTTAAAATTTTATCTTCGATGTCTTTTTTTTTTTTAATATCAAAGAAGATAGCTCTGTTGTTAGCTTTTAAATGTTTCTTCTTAGGCCAGCAAGAATGCACTGCCTAAAATTATTCTATTAGCTAAGGATTTAACTAATCTGTTCTTTCCAATTCCATATTACCCCCTAAGCAAGTGAGATCTAAGTGAAGAATGCTGGTACCTTCCTAGTTCAAACATCCCTAAATTGTAATGACATGTTTTCTGGTTGCATTTTTATTAGAAAATTATATTGCCCTCTTTCGAGACTATTGGGAGTGGTGTTTGATCTCTCACGCTATTTTTTTCTTTTATAGAAAACAACAGATTAAATTTTTTTCCTGTTTTTATTAGAGAATAATGGAAACATTTTTCCCTTAATTTTAAGTTGGTGTTGTCAAGTCTTTCTCAGGTCATGGGAAGGAAATTTTAAGATTTGAAATGAAACACCATTCATTCAGAATCAGGATGAAATAGTGACCTAACACTCCACCAAACCTTTTTAGCATATAGACCGATAGCTATTACTCCTCCTAAGTGCCGTGCCT